AAAGCAGTTTAGGATATGGCAATCGGAAAGCAGAGAGCTCCACCCACCAGGGACTGAATATATACCCCATAGGCAGGTCCCCAGTAAGCTATCTCCTCCAGCCACACCCTTCCTGCCGTTAGTTAGCACCCAGTTAATCCCTGTGAGTGGATTAATCCACTGATTAGGTCGTACCTCTCATAATCTAATCATTTCCCCTCTGATTTTTTTTTTTTTTACATTATCTTACATATGAGCTCTTGGGAGACACTACACATCTAAACCATTACAAGAGGTATCAGTATTTCAGAAATCTTGAGTATGGGCTGGGGTTGAGAGAACAGGGAGGGCAGGGTCTGTAAGAAGAATCTGCTTGAAAAACTTGGTAGTAAATATGATCGAGAATTGTTACTGCCCAATGAAAGTATCATTACTGCATTCAATGTACTCAGAGTGAATGTAGCAGAGATGGATCAGCACAATCCGATTTTTAACAAGGTCATATTTAAACAGAAAAATGAGATTTTTATTATAATGATCCAAAGAATATTTAAAGGTCCAATAGCCTCCCCTAGGACTGCTTTCAGCTCATTCTGTTCCCCTACCCCCTGGTAGGTTATCTTTGATCTGCTGCTCTGTGGGTCCAAAGTCTTCCTTCTAGAAGTACATCTGAATGGGAGAATCCTATTAGTGCTTTAAATGGGTTGAATTTTTTAATCACTCAGAGAACTATTGATTTACAGTTATGAAGTCATGAGATGAATATTCTGGTATTTACAAGGCATCTGCAAAGAGACAGTGGGGTTCTGTAGCACCTCTTAACCATAACCAAATACTTCATGTTATTGCTATAAATACAACAGGAGATATATTAAAAGTACCTCGAGATGTTGGTGACTTTCATACCTGGTACCGAATGTCAATCTCTTTGTGCTAGTTATTTTCTTAAAATCAGTAAAGTTTGGGGGAAGTTTATAAAAAGAAGTAAATCTGTTGGCCACCATAATATTATCAAAAAGTATGATTGTCCTCAGCATTTCTCAAGCTACTAATATGCTTTCTACATTATATACTGTGCTTTAGCATCTCTTTAAAGTTTATATTTTGGGATCTGGAAGGTTTTAATTTAATAGTTTTTGTTTTGTTTTGATTGTGTTTTTACTACTGGGGATTGGACCTCAGGGGCACTTAACCACTGAGCAACATCCCCATCCCTTTTTACTTTTTATTTTGAGACAGGATTTTGCTGAGTTGCTTAGGGTCTCACTTACTAAGGCTTGCCTCTAACTTGAAATCCTCCTGCCTCAGCCTCCAGAGTTGCTAGGATTACAGGCATGTGCCACAATGCCCTGCCCAACAGTATCTTTTTACAGATGAAGAAATACAGACTTCGAGAGGTGCAACTCAAGTGGCATATACAGCCAATGATAGCAAAGCCTGAAATAGAGTTCCTGGCAACCAGCTGCTGGGTCAATTCTCAAACATGCCACTGCCATTATCCTTCCCATTTACCTTCTTTCTCCAAAATCACTATTGGTATTAGAAAAAGGAGCTTGAGAAATAGTTATCTGAAAGAGCACCATGTGTGCACATCTGGATCTGTACTTGCATTTTGTTTTAGTCAGCTTTCCCATAGCTGTGACCAAAAGACCTGACAAGAACAATTAGAGGAGGAAATATTTGGCTCTTTGCTTCAGATGTCTCAGTCCATAGATGGCTGACTCCGTAGTTCTGGGCCCAAGGGGAGGCAGAACATCATGGCTGTAGAGTATGGCAGAGGAAAGCAGCTCAGGACATTAGGAGGCAAAGAGAGCTCTTTTTACCACAGACAAAATATAAACCTCAAAGGCATGCCCCCAGTGACCCACCTCCTTCAGCCACATTCTACCTGCCAATAGTTAACACCCATATAATCCATATTAATCAATTAAACCATTGCTTAGGTTATAGCTCTCATAACCAAATAATTTCACCCCCGAATGTTCTTACATTGTCTCACACCTGAACTTTTAAGAGACACTTTCTATTCAAACAATAACATATCTCAAATATCAATATAATGTATCAATACATTTCCTCTACTGGCTTGCCCTGTTGTACAATAAAAATTTAACATTTGCATCACAGAAAATTCTCTTTTGATTTCTTTTGCTGTTCTGGAAATATTATTATGAATGACATTCTACATAAACCATTGAACATAATTTATTTTAATCAGTCATTCAGGTTTTATTTTGTTTGTACCCAATTTTATATGGTTTTAATTACTCAAAATGTAGATGTATGTCTTAGTTAATTTTCTGTTGCTATAACAAAATACCTGATGCCAGATAATTTATAAAGAATAGAGGTAATTTAGCCTTGGGGAAGTCCAAGAAAATGATGCTGGCATCTGGAGACTTCTTGCTGCATCAAACATAGTGGAGTAAGAACATCCCCTGATGAGACAGACCAAGCTCTGTTTTATAGCAAAACCACTCCCTGGGTAACTCATTAACCTCTTAATCCATGAATGAATTACTGCATTCATGAGGGGAAAAACTCTCAAGATCCAGTCACTACTTATAGGCCCTATCTCTTGACACCTCCACACCAGCCATCAAATTTCTACATGAACTTCATAGAAGACAAACCATACTCAAACCATAGGAATATAAAAATTCAATACTTACCAGCATTTCATGTTTGGAATTTATTTAGGAAATGAAGTATTGCTCTGTGGTTTCAGAAAAAAAATTAATAAATATCTGTAAATAGGCAGTAATTTCATGTTCATTTTCAGAGAGATTTAGCTACATTAGCAGTGCTATTTTGTGACACCCATAATCTTCTAAATTGACTTATTTGATTCTCTTCAGATCTATTTTTCTAAAGACTTGGATTTTATCTCCGTTGCTGCTTTTCAAATGCTCTCTATGAATGTGGGTCTATCTAATGTAATTTTTGCATTTGATGCCACTTTTTCTCAAATGACAATACAGCGCAGGAAGAACCATGCGGTATTGCTTTCTACCAATTGGGTACTTTGATTTGAAAAAAATATATATATATTATATATATATATATATATAATAAAAATAAATTTAATAAATATGGAAGAGAGAGAGAAAAAATGTTGAAGGTGTTTAACTAAGAAAACCTTGTGTTGTAGTCAAACAGATGACTGAGGGGATAAGCTATACAGCAAAATAGGGATCAAGAAAAAGAAAAAAAAAAAGAACTTTGGCAGAAATAAGTTCCTGTGCAACAAACCCAGACATCCAGAGCTGATCTGCTCCCTTTAATTAACACTTTCCCAGAAACCTTATTTTCACTCTGGCTCCTTTCATCTTTAGCCCATGTCTTATAATACAAACTTCTCAGCATTTCATAATAGTTTTCTTAAAGGAATTTAAGTAATCATAACAATAATAACTTATAGATTTCTTACATTTTAATCAAAAGCTTCATCGTGGCCCACTTTTAAAATTCTTTTTTCCTTTTTTTTTTTTTTTTTTTTTTTTTTT